CTTCCTCTTCCTCCCGCTCCCACTCCCGCTCCCGCTCCCACTGCTCTGCTCCGCACGACACTGTTCACTGACAACCTGCTTCGCAGTCGCCGTATCTGCCCCGGCATCCCGCTCGCCGAGCAGGAGATCTTCCTTGCCATCGCCGGTCTGCTCTGGGCCTTCAACATGGAGCAGCTCCCCAACGAGCCCATCGACCTGACCGAGTACGACGGTCTGTCGGGCCGCTCGCCCGTTCCTTTCCGCATCAAGATGACTCCCCGCGACGGCCGCGTCAAGGAGGTCCTTGCTCTCTAAATTGGCCTGTGAACTGCCACCGCCGCAACTGCCGCCGAACAAAGGACCGGTGGAGCAGGCGGCGATCCCTGAAAGGCGCAAGATGGCGCATCTGTATCACTTATATCTGTACTAGTTTCTCGACCGGGGTCTCATTAGATATAGAGTAGGACTGTCTGATTAGTACTGTTGCATTGTCATAGAGGTTGCATACACGTAGTACACTAATGCATTCATATGTTGCATCTGCACTTGCGAGCACTCCTCTTGCAAGGCCGACGGCGAGGTTCCCGGTATGAGTAGCGAAATAAGTACGGTGGTCACGTTTCCTTTGGCCCTCAGACACCACAGGGTGCCGCAGCTAGAGTTGACCTCATCGCTTTTGCGAACTCATATTCCACATTGATTCTACTCATACGCCTGAGCCGGTAACAGCAATATTTTCCCATTAATGTTGCGTGTCGCAGACTGTCGTCTCACATGTGATCCAGACATCGACCAAAACTCAAGTATCTGCTGGCCCACCTATGGACCAGCGTGTATGACCCATGCGTCCATGATTTCCTAGAAGACGGCTGTCTGACGAGGCGCTAGTTTTGTTCATGGCTAAGGTACCTGGGCGCGGCGCTTACAAGCATCTTTAAGCATAGTTCATTCGCACGTCGGCATGTCCTAGGTTCATGTACCAAAGCTCAGCGTCGCTCACAACGAACATTCCACGCTTCTCTAGAACTGCAGCCCGGCGCGTAGAGTACCGCCGGTAGGGAGAGATGCGCCGCCCGCTTTCTTGCGTAGAGGCCGTGCTCGTTTTATTTCAGTCAAGCGCCCTTAAATACATATTGAAAGGTAGAGCCCATCTGGAAACGTCAACCGATAGGCGTCGAAAGCCCCCATTTTTTCGCGAGTGAGGCAAGGTTCAAACTTCAAATTTCAAAGAGGTTATCTTCCCGTGCATTATCATGATTACATACTGTAATCAGCTAAGTCCGGATTCGGCAACTTTGTTAAATATTGCCCTCCTTGCTCACCATTCACCCAATTGTCGCATTGCTACACGCAATGAATCATGTATGTTGAATGCCTAAAAGTGCGAGACAGGTGAGACAAAGCTGCAGCATGCCATGTTGCAGGGTGATAAGCACAGTTTTTTCCTTGAAGAAACCCGGCCAAAATTGGGAAAACAAGAACCAATTATTCCCTGGTTGTATATTGGGGTAAATTGGTGCATAAATTGGTGCAAAACCGGCCAAAAGAGGCTGAAATGGTACAAAACTAGCAGAAAAGGGAGTTTTGTCTCCAAGTTTTCTCGAATGAAAACCGGTTAAACACAGGTTCTTGTTTGCCTAGCTTTTAGCTGGTTATGCAAGCAAAAACACTGCACCTACCACCTAGTGTGTGCAACGTAACAAGTTGCAGAGTAACGCTTGCAGAGCAATAGGTACACAGACTGCGTCTTTCATGTCCTCAGCTAAAAACTTATGGTCTCACGGCAGTGCTGACGCGTTGTACTCACCAGACTCGCTTCCGGCATCGTGGGTTTTGGAGGATACGGCATCGTTCTTTCTGATCCCGGGTGACGCGTCGCGTCGGCAAGCCACAGGCATGACAGCAACTAACTTACTCAGGCCGAAACGCTCGCCGGACTGAACGAAGAGCGTGAGCAGCAATTACACCTCACGCTGCCCATTGGTTTGTCGTGCCGCATTGTATGCACAAGGGCGTCAACAAAATGCGCTGCATGGAGGTCAGCCAACGTGAGGAAGTTTTCTGTGGCAGGAGACAGCACCCCCATGCGATATAAAGCTTCTCTTTAATTCCGCGTAGGGTTGACAGTGCATCCTCTTCCTCCTCTTCCTCCGTTCAATTGCAGCTCAACCTCCGGCTGAAAATGTGCGACACTGCAACAAACGTCTATCGGACGATGCGCGCCGTCTGGCCACCTGCTCCCAAATTCTCCGTCGACCAGATCCCGGACCTCACGGGCAGGATCACCATCGTCACCGGTAGGTTCCTCCTACATCTTTTTCTCTGAGTACGCTGAGCTTCAATGCTAGGCGCGAACACTGGTGTGGGCAAGGAGACCGTGAAGGCGCTCCTCCAACACAACGCTAAGGTATACCTCGCGGCGCGGAGCCGATCCAAGGCCGAAGTTGCAATCAAGGACTTGAAGGACGCAACGGGTAGAGACGCGATCTTCCTAGAGCTGGACCTCTCGAGCCTTGTATCAGTTCGCAAGGCCGCGGAGGAGTTCCTGAGCAAGGAGCGCGAGCTGCATATCCTCTTCAACAACGCGTGCGTCTCTGCTGCCGCCTATTATGCATTTCATGACTGACTGCAAAGCGCAGCGGCGTCATGATACCGCCAATGGACCAGCTTACGGCCGAAGGATATGACTTGCAGTTCGGTACGAACGTCCTCGGGCACTGGTACTTCACGGAGCTGCTGCTACCCGCGCTACAAGCAGGCGCCCGGAGCTCACCCGACGGCTATGCGCGCGTCGCGACGACGAGCAGCAGCGGGGCACATATCGCGAAGCCTGTTGACTGGAACACCTTCCGCGAACATCCAAGCCGACACAAGCTCGGCGCGAACTCGCTGTACGCTCAAAGCAAAATGGTAGGTTGCATTGTGCACCTGCACATTACGCCGCGGCTGACCAAACTCCTGGAAGCTCAACGCGGTCGTCGCACACGAGTCATCCAAACGCTACAAGGACATGAACATCCTCTGCTACGCCTGTGACCCTGGCTCGCTCAAGACCGACCTGCAGCGCCATGCGACTCCCTTCCAGAAATTCCTAGTTGTAAGTGTGCGACTCCGTATCCCAGAACGGCAGACCTGACTCGGCAATTCCTAGAACCCATTGCTACACGATGCATCGTATGGTGCGCTAACGCAACTGTGGGCTGGGACGATGGAGGAGACAATTCAGTACAATGGCGAGGTGTGTTCGTCTTTTGGAGCAGTATTGCCGTGCTCTGACAACGTCCGTCCCTAGTTCCTCGTCCCATATGCTCGCTTAGGCAAGACACAGGCTGAGATGTACGACCCCGAGATTGGCAAGCGCCTGTGGGCGTACATGGAGGAGCAAGTTAAAACCAAGTAGCCTCCAGTATTGTTTGCACACATGATAATTTTATACCCCTGCTGTCATTGAATCTGCACTCTCTGGTGGTTAAAACGGCAAACCATTGATGTGCCCTTGCGAATATACACAGCAGTGAGAGAGCACTAAACAACGACTTCATGGTGATTTTCTTATTTTTCCTTTTTCCTTTTATTTTTATTTACTTCGTTAGAAGTCTGGTAACCTGAGTTGCGACAATGTTGATCATGGCAGAGTCTGTCATGGATTCACTGGCGGCAGGGGCGGACATAAGTAGTTTGACGGGCTTGACTCGATATACGAACAGATATACGGTTTATAAATAACAGCAAGGGTATATAATTATCGAGTGTGAGCCAAAAAAACAAAGAGGCTACTTGGACTTGACTTGCTCCTCCATGTATGCCCACAGGCGCTTGCCAATCTCGGGGTCATACATTGCAGTCTTCGTCTTGCCCGGACGAGCATATGGAATGAGGAACTAGCACGGATAGCATCAGGGCACAACGATGCCGGTTTAAGAGATCAACATACCTCGCCGTTGTACTGAACCGTCTCCTCCATCGTACCTGCCCACAGCTGCGTAAGTGCACCATACGAGGCCTCGTGTAGCAAGGCATTCTAGGGGTTCTCAAGTCAAGCTTGTTGTTCCAAACTGCAGATCTGCTTACTCACAACGAGCTTCTTTTGGAAAGGGGTTGCATAGCGCTGCAGGTCGGTCTTGAGAGCGCCAGGATCGCAGGCGTAGCAGAGGATGTTCATGTCTTTGTAACGCTTCGACGACTCGTGCGCGACGACACCATTGAGCTTCCGTCACAATTAGCCGCGTCGCAGTGCTCAGATCCGCAGCGCAACTCACGAGCTTACTTTGGAAGTACAGCAATTGTGTACCGAGCTTTTGCCGGTTTGGGTGCTCGCGGAAAGTGTCCCAGTCGACGGGCTTGGCGAGGTGTGCGCCGCTGCTACTCGTGGTGACAACGCGCGCATAACCATCGGGTGAGTTCCGGGCGCCTGCCTGTAGTGCGGGCAGGAGCAGCTCCGTAAAATACCAATGCCCGAGGACGTTCGTGCCGAATTGCAGATCATACCCGTCTGACGTAAACTGGTCTATCGGCGGGACCATCACACCGCTTTGTACTGTCATGTCAGCTTTGAGAGCACACGAGGAATGGAGGCGGGGACGCACGCATTGTTGAAGAGGATATTTAGCTCGTACTCCTTGCCCAGGAACTCCTCCGCGGCCTTGCGAACCGATGCCAGGCTCGAGAGGTCCAGCTCTAGGAAAATTGCGTCCCTGCCCGTTGCGTCCTTCAAGTCCTTTATCGCAGCCTCGGCCTTGGACCGGCTCCGCGCTGCGAGATATACTTTGGCATTATGCTGGAGGAGTGCTTTCACGGTTTCTTTGCCCACGCCAGTATTTGCGCCTAGTATGAGCGTTTAGCGCACGCACGGAAGGAAGAGAAAAAGCAGCGTACCGGTGACAACGATGACCCTGCCGGTTAAGTCTGGGATATGGTTGACGGAGAACTTAGGAGTGGGTGGCCAGATGGCGCGCACCGTTCGGTAAACGCCTGTCGTAGTATCGCACATTTGGGATCAGAGGGAAAGTAGCGATAAAATGAGGCAGAGGAGGATCTGATTTTGACCCCAGAACCCAAGTCGAGTTCTTATACCTCATGGTGGTATTTTGCTCTGAGGTCTCTGAGGTATAGAACTTTCCCAGGTTGCCGAGGTACACGCAATCGTTTTTTTTTGCCAGTGCTTCCTTGAGGGCACTGCATAGAGAAACGGGCCAGGAACAAGCGCAGCGCATAATTGCAGCTCACATTCTGCGTCCGATCCAGAGTTTCGGCAGCCGTTTGGCTGCCGATGTGGGCTGCCGACGCGACGCGTCACTTGCGGCCAACCTTGACTTCGAGATCTGCCATGTGCCTGTGAATATGATCGGCTGCCTTCTACTTGCTGTGCAGTAACACTTGCCAAAACAATTGGTATGCTCCGCTGGCGACATCTCTTTGTAGACGAGTGTGTGCAGAATATGCGTTGACCAGGCTGTAGTACTTGACCCGAGCGGTGCTCAGACGGTCCAGCCTCGCAAGCCAAGTTCTGTGACATCAGAAGACATCGCCGGGTATGCGCGGGTATTATCAATGGAATTGAATCTGCGGACGGGCGGGATTGAGATATGTGGCATTACTCGCCGAAAATGACATGTGCCTGCTGAGGTGAGCAATGTTGACGTTAATGACCTACCATGCCTTCCAAATACGGATGCATCGCGAAATGCCGGCGAAAAGTGAGATCATCGAGCGATCGGCGATCTCATCTCAGAATTTCCGCGAGTCCAAGTCATTCCAGCCTTTTGAACCTCGCTTTGCACTCTCACCACGAAATCATGGAGGCTTTCGACACTTACCTGACGCCGCTTTCCAGGTGGGCTCCTCTCCAGAATATATGTTCGCGAACATAGGGCTGAGACAAGACGAGGACAGCCGCTATGCAAGCAAGGAGATGGCCCATCTCTTCTCCCCGGCGGTACGCTGCACGCCAGGTCGCCCAGAGCAATAACACCGACAGATGCAACCACTGCTAGAACCGCTTCTACACATGGCGGAAGCTTTGGCTCAATCTCGCCGTCGCGGAAAAGCAGTCCGGCTTACCCATCTCGGACGAGGCCATCGAGCAGATGAGGGCGAACCTGGTGCGTGCCTGTTGCAGCGTTCGACCAGGCGTGAGATGCTCACCGGCGGATGTAGCATCTGGATGAGAAGCAATTTGAGGCTGCCGCAGTGGAGGAGAAGAAGCGGCGCCACGACGTCATGGCGCATGTGCATACTTTTGGCCAGGTCGCGCCTGCCGCTGCAGGCATCATCCAGTGCGTCTTATACTCTTCCTCTCGATATAGGCTTACTCTTACGCTCTTACAGTCTTGGTGCAACATCATGCTATGTCACTGAGTGCGTACTTATCCAGTCTATCGAAGAGGACGTACTAAAGGACTTTGAAGCAACGCCGACCTGATCTTCATCCGCGAAGCCCTTACACTCATTATCAATAAGCTGGCCGTCGTCATTGACCGACTATCCAAGTTTTCCAAGGAATACCGCGACCTTCCCACCCTTGGCTTTACGCACTTCCAGCCTGCACAGTTGACCACTGTCGGCAAGCGCGCAACTCTGTGGCTCCAGGTGCGCACACACGCGCCACCTCGGAACGACAATCATAACGGATTCTGCTGTAGGAGCTGCTCTGGGACCTTCGCAATCTCAAGCGGGCCCGTGGCGACATCGGTTTCCGCGGTGTAAAGGGCACGACAGGCACGCAGGCGAGCTTCCTCGCGCTCTTCGACGGCGACCATGCCAAGGTCGAGGAGCTCGACGCTCGTGTGACGGAGCTATCCGGATTCGCGTACGCGTACCCAGTCACGTCGCAGACTTACTCGCGCAAGGTCGACATCGACGCGCTCGCGCCGCTTGCCAGTTTCGGGGCAACGGCGCACAAGATCGCGACGGACTTGCGGCTGCTGGCGAACTTGAAAGAGGTCGAGGAACCGTTTGAGAGTACACAAATTGGATCGTCAGCGATGGCGTACAAGCGGAATCCCATGCGCTCCGAGCGGGTGTGCTCGCTCGCGCGCCACCTGATGGTCCTTCACCAGAATGCACTGATGACATCAAGCGTGCAGTGGTTCGAGCGCACTTTGGATGACAGGTCGGTTTTCTCTAAGGTTCATATATCCATGCTCAACACTCACGTTATGCATATCTACAGCGCTAACCGCCGCATAACGCTCCCCGAGGCCTTCTTGACTGCAGACATCGTGCTGACGACGCTGCAAAACGTCTCCGAAGGTCTAGTCGTGTATCCCAAGGTCATCGCGCGCCGTATCTCCCAGGAGCTGCCATTCATGGCGACCGAAAACATCATCATGGCGATCGTGAAGAAGGGAGGCGACCGGCAGGTGGCGCACGAGAAGATCCGCGTACGTCCCCCTCCCTCTCTTCCCTGCCAATTTTAACGTAAGCTATGCTTCGCAGGTGCTCTCGCACGAGGCTGCGCACCAGGTCAAGCAGCTCGGGCTCGACAACGACCTTATCGAGCGCGTGAAGCGCGACACGTACTTTGACCCAATCAAGGGCGAGTTGGACATGCTGCTAGACCCGAGCACGTTCATCGGCCGAGCGCCGCAGCAGGTTGACAAGTTCCTTGCGGAGTGGATCGAGCCGGCACTCGCGGACCCGGCGCTGCAAGCTGTCGTTGCCAAAGGCGAAAAGGCGGAGCTCAGCGTTTGAGTGGGCGAAAACTGAAAATGTACAAAAGTGCGTGGTGTGTGGTGAGTTGTGACCTGAGAGAGGAAAGTCGCCGCGCACGATGCATTCGTCTTGTGGAATAGAGGGATAATTTCACGGGCTTCCTATGAAGATGATCGCTGCATACGATGTACTGTATACGTCCCGTTCAATAAACGGGTAAGTTAAGTGCTTCCCCTTACACACATATAGCGGAACGAAAACAGATGCATAAACTGGATTCGCTACCACTCTCACTAACTCAATCTCCATAGTCGTGGTCGACGTGCGACTTGATCTGCCAAAGCGAGACGCGCCAGCCCTATCTTGGATGTCGGGTGTCACAGATGCGGATGTTCTCGTGTGCTGATGGCAGGTGTTAGTCCTGCGTAGTGCCTCCCTCCACTGACAGTGCTCGTCTGAGTGTTTCTGCTTCTCTTTCATTCTTTTTTCCTTCTTGCGTCTCTCTTCGCATCCTTTCCTACCAGCAGCTTCTGCAAGTCACGAGCTTACGTAAGCCCGTGGGTTCAGCTTCTTCCATGAGAACGGTCTTCATCGATCTCCTCAATTACCGGTACGTGCTCCCCAAACTAAAGTCCTCCCCCCATATCTTCTTACTTGCTTCTTACCGGTAAAGTCTTATAGAACACGGGATGAAACCAAAACGTCCTTGTATGATCTCAAGGAAATGTCATGACACGATATACCGCTCTCGCTTGCGACGCCCGGGCGTGGTAAGACTAAGCAGGTATCTCGAGCTTCACCTGCCACGATAGCATTCTTGGAGAAGGTGGCGGAGTGGTGAGATCCACATGATCAAGCCTTTGCTCAGGCTATGGCATGCTTATGGCAAGAGTGAGAACCATTAACAATACATACATTCTGAGGTTTCATTATACTACAAAGTGGCCTGCAATAATATGGTGGCCCAAAGCGTTGTTGCGAGCTTGGGCCTTGGAGCCGGCCGGCCGGGTGTAGCCGAGGTCAGACATGTCAGACCGCCCTCAGCCGGTCAGCCGGTGCGTACCCTGACGGTCAGGTGTCAGACCCCCGGCCGTTTCGGTCGTGCGACTACAGTATGTCGTATCAATACCACTCTCACTTGCGACGGCCGAACGTGGTTAACTCACGTCACACAGATCAGCCCAAAGTTGGCACATAACTGTGGAACGTTGAGCTGCAACAGCAGGCCTCATGGTACGAAACGGAGATGCCTGAAAGCCACCATGCGGTGTACGTGTTACCCGCTTCTCCTTTAGGTCAGAACAGATGTGCCATCGTACTTTAAACGCGGATGCGGTCGTCTCTTCGAGAGGCCGCTCGACGGACATTCTGCGCTGCTTACTTTCGTCCTCGACGTTAACACTATAACCTACACTACTTCGGTGATACGTGAGTTATATCCACCCTTGTCCTCACAGGTAGCCGAGGATAGCTTATATTTACACTCCAGGTCATTCTGCACATGTATCCTGTGCTCGCCAAGTACGCTCCTAAAAGCATCTTATCCCCAGCGGACCTAGGCGAGTGTTCCCCACCGTCTCGCCCCCCGCAGGGGAACTCTCGTTCGCAGGACAGATCTTCGAGGACGTTCCCGCAAGAAGACAGGACATCATTTCAGAGTGCGACTCCCCGTCGCGGTTTCGGTCAGTCCTCTCGACAAGGAGACACATGGCCGAGGAGCACTGTTCCTCCCACTCAGGCCATCCGACGAGGCAGTCCTGGTCAGCAGACTCGTGGCTCGAACGATGAAGACGACGACAGTGAGTCGCAGGATCGGTCAGGCGAGACGAGAGGACGCATGTGGGACATGTCGGGTCTGCGAAGGTCAATAGATGACGATCGGCAGGGCAACACCGGACCCCAGTATGGCAGCCGGTACAGGAATTATGGGAGGTATGAAGACGAGCAACACGCCCTTACTTCCCGTCCCATTCGTCCAGCAATTGGTCGTCCCGCAGCTGACAGCAGTCACCCACCGCCTCATAGTGAAGATCCTCAGCGATCACGTCGCTGGGACGAGATGCGGGAAGACCTTCGCTCTGGAGACGTGCAGTTTCATGGCCTCTGGAGAGACCCTGTTGCGTTTTCTGGAAAGACCGTCCCCAAACAGCGCCAGATGCCTGCCGGGCTGCGCTTAATCTTCGGCCTCGACTATGTCTTTCCTGACAACCTCGGTTTCAGAAGTGCCAGCTCAGGAAGAGTCTCACCGTCAGGTCAGAATGCCTCCCGCCAAAGCGCGCTATCCCATCAGAAAGTGTGGGACCGCATGATGACGATGGACAAGAGCGGTGGCTTTCCCGAGGCTTTGTCTGCCAAGCCGCGCACGAATGGCCCGATCTTTACGCTCATTCCTTCGCCTACTGCCGATGGTCGCACTTTGTGTCCACTTCAGATGAAGTTCAAGGGCGCTGGCACGATTCCTGATGAAGATGCGGATATATCCTGCTCCTCCCTCGGAATTGACCGCCTCATCACAAAACTAAACGGTATCTTCGGTACGAATTACGGCTCCGATAGGACCGCAAGCCTTAGAATGTGGTTCAGTGCTATGATGAAAAATATTTCGTCTGCGGATGTTGGGCTCGCGTACGGGTTTGTCCGCCGCACGTGGTTCGGCAACATCCACTATCAACTCGCGCGGTCGGGCTATGGATCTGTCGATGACCGCCGCCGCCAGGCCATTAACGGCGACGTTATCACTGATCCTCGCATCCCTCCGCGTCGAGTATGGGACTTGTACAGCAACCGCGTCCTCCCCTTTCGGGTGCTCCTCGGAGCAGATGTACCGATGAAATTGTGGGCAGTATCTCACAGTTGGGTTCCTGATTCGCAGCTCAAGCACGTATGGACACCCATCAACGGCTATATGTGGCCAGTGCCCATCCCTTTGGATGTCGACCTCAGTCAGATCCGCATCGAGCTGCTCAACCTAGGGGCCGAGTACGTCTGGCTGGACGTGCTCTGTCTCCGACAGGAGATCCCGCCAGCCACCATGCTACACCATCCGAAGCGAAATATGGAAGATATGCAGCAGTGGCGCGACTCCTGCGAACGAACTCGAAGAGAAGAGTGGCGACTCGATGTGCCGACCATTGGGTATGTCTACCGGTGCAAGCCCTCCCAGGTGGTCGTAAGTTATTTCAACGGACTTGGGAGGCCTTTCCGACTGTCCGCAGAGTCTCTGGAGGGGGAAGATAGCGCAAACCATTGGATCAACCGTGTCTGGACGATGCAGGAGGCCACGTCGAACTGGTTTCTCGGCGGACTCACACCCCAACCATTCGACGAGGGTGAGCCAGGTGTATCTGATACTATCAAGCTCTTCCATCAGCGGATGAGCGACCTGCTCGCCGTACTTCCCCAAGGCCAGACTCCTCCCGACCTTTTCGCGCTAGTCAGCTTTCTCCGGCTGCGTCACGCTCGTCGCGAGAACGACTACGTCAGTGGTCTCGGCTATCTTCTCCAGTGTCCGGTCATACCGATCTATGATGAGACAATCTCTGTTGAGATCGCATGGGAGCGTCTCGTGTGCCAGCTAGAATCCAAGTCTCTGACTGACCTCCTCTTTCTATTCCCCATTGCCGGTACCAATCCGAAGGCTCGATGGCGGCCGAGCTGGGGGCGGCTCTTGCGCGATCCTCTGACACCTCTCTCCACCTCCTCAGTCGCGTACCTGCGGCAGGATCTCGTCCGCTACGACCCTGGGTCTGGTGAATACTCAAATATTGCATATATCGTCGACCGCTGCGTCCTCCATTCTACTGGGACAGCTGGTCGTCTGCAGCTGCAAGTCCCGATTGAGCCGAGCGACGGGGACCAAGCGGCGCCTCGGTTTATCACCATCGCTATCAGTTCTAGTAACCCTTCCCTAGGCAAGCCCCTGGCCGACGCTGAGTACACTATTGCTGCGACTGCCGATCTCAAGTACTGGCTGTATGGAAAACCCGTCCGAGAGAGCAAAAAATCTATAACTCTGGAGAAGTGCGGCACCTTCGTTGTGGACGATGCCGAGGATATAGAGACGCTCTGGCACTTGAACCCGGGGTATGCTGACATGCGAGTAATCTATGCTTGAGATTGCTTGTAAGTGCTTCGACTAAGCTCCTTGACTATGGACAGGAGTCACAAGACTTATATACTATCAGATAGTTATATTATGGATGGACCAACCTCGGTGTGATGCATTGAGTTGTGCACGCTGGTGTCATGAATATTCCGGATGGTTCTCCCAGATTCCATAGCATTCTTTCACTCTTTATACGTCTACCTATATTCGTAGTATATTCTAGGTATTGAGTCTGACATGTATATAAGGAGCTCGTTCTGCTCAATAACAAGCCAGACTCGAGCTGGTCTTTCCTCACCTACTTTCCTCTCATCTGTCTCCTCAGCTTCGTTGTAGCCCAGTCCAGTTGGATTGTTGGTTGCTGACAGCTGGTCTGCGGCATGTTATACATGCTATTGTCATCAGTGGTGGTCCGGTAGATACTGGAATTTCAGTCTATCTGTGATGTACATACAAAACAACGCGGTCTACGGCACACATTGTAGTCTTTATTGTCTCAAGTACATGCATAACTGAAAGTAATTTGTTTACTAAAGGGATGTCAGCCTAGTATGCGGTCAACTGGCCTAAGAGGCCAGCTATGTCCGCGTTTGCGCTCATGTCATAAGCATTGCAGCATTTACGAGCTATCCATGTTGAGCCTCAGCTGCTGAGTGGCCTATTATCAACTTCTTTAACATTCACGAACCCAGTTGTCGGGCGTCGCCCTCGCCCAGGTGGATGATGTTATGACCTCGTACACACTGATAGAGCGCAGGCGGGCCATGCCGTAGCATGGCGACCGTCCTCAGCGTTGGCACGCCCTCAAGATTCAAGGCCAGAAGCATATGAGCGCTGGGCGACTCGGAAGAGTATGCTCAGACAAGCGAACTAAATGATGGCTCTTTTTCGAGGCATGACACATCGTTGCACAGATTAGGAGTAGTAGAGTAAAACTTCTCAAGACGAAAGCGTTGCGGTCCAGGGGTGACTGGAGCTGCATCAAGAGCTCGCTCGGGGATTCGGAAGTAGTACAGTATCCCGGGCCACCGGCGCGCCGGTTGTCACTTACGTTTCAAACATCACGAGCAAATAGGGCACAACTCGCAGTATCTGTGTTCGGGATGCTTTGCGTCAGAGCTGTCAAGAGGCGTGTCGGTGCATGTCATGATGCGTGTTGGTGCATGTCATGGCTCTTTGCTACCATCTATCGCAACATTGTTGAGCATCGCAAGGACTGACTCGAATCACTGCGCCGTGGGCTCTCCTGAGTCCTGACCGTGCACACTGCCTTCATCAGGCCGTACCTACTCGCAGCACTCACGAATTCCGCGCGGCAGAGCAAGACAACATGTATAAAACGAGAGAATGAGAATGTTCAGATGGTGCTAGAGCTCTTCTTGAGCAGGTCAGCCAGGTATAAGAACCCACCGCAGTCGCACCGTAGTCATCCAAGAACCAAAGCACTCCCAGAACTAAAGCACCCCTCAGAAGAGTCAGAACCAAAACGCTCCTCATGTCGACCACCTCTACAACTGCTGGACGTCCCCCTGTGCGTCGCATCGTCACTGGCCATGCACGCGATGGAAAAGCCATCTTCGCCGAGGATGGGCTCGTGCAGCCCCGTGCTTTCAGGCGGAGTCAGACCCAGTTCACGGACCTGTACTGGTCAGAGGGCTTCCCGTCGAGCAACGACGGAGAGTTCCAGGACGACATCAAGCAACATGACAACGACGTTGTGAATCCTGACGGAAGCGTCTTCCGCGCTGTCGACATGGCGCCGCACACGGAATCGGTGGGTGATGACACTTGTTATAACGCTGCCACGAAGGCATTATAGTAGGACTCAAACTCACAGAGTTTCCTACCAGTTCTTCCACCGTACGATCTCTCTTGACCACTGCGTCCTCACCAACGGATCCCTCACATTGGTGCTTGACGACAACAAGCGTGTTGTCCTGAAGCCCGGCGACGTCGTCGTCCAGCGTGGAACGATCCACGCCTGGATCAACGAGACCGACGAGTGGACGCGAATGTACTGTGTCCAGCTCCGTAAGCCCGTCCTATACAGCGTCTGAAGGAGACACTACTAACAAGACTCGTTCACTCCACAGCGACGACCAAGGTAACGAGGGAGCTCGGTGTTGAGTTCAACCCTCTGCCGCAGGAGTGGAAGGCCACGAACCGGAAATAACACTTCGACTGCGTGGCGTGTTGCCTCGCTGGTGGACCGTGTCCGGGAAAGGCTCTCGTTGTAGTTGCTGCTCGCTTCCCGTATAGGCAATACCCACCGTCCGCTTCGATACCAATATGATCGACGCTGTGCATACGTGCTTCAGACGCATCGCTTTGGGAGATCGGCGCCAAATCCCTGACTCCCGGGGTGCCTGACCTGTGTAGAAGTGCATTGAAATTCGAGAACCCTGGAAACCATCTCAGATCGTGTGGGACATGAGCATGACATTTCGTGACGAGGCGTATCTAGAGTACACACAACGGCACTTGAGTAGTCGTCGAAGCAGTAGCTTCAGTACTTCGTGAATGATCTATGACCAGTGAAAATACAGGCCGGGTATGCACAGTTGCAACATTTAAGTTTATACCGACGGTTCCGCGAGAGGTTCGCCACCGGCTAAATCAGAGGTTGAGCCAGCGGGGACAAAAAGAGCTTGCCCGCCGGCTGCACGCTGGTGATATTGAGGGGATCGACGACGGTGTATTTGCCGCCTTCCAGTATAGGGTGTGCCAGGCTAAGAATTGTCAGTGCGATCATCTTCATCTCTGTTGACCGATTAGCGCGCGCTTCCATATCACCTCGGCATTTAAACACCCACCAGCCACAGCGAGCACACGTCCAGGGCAGGCCCAGCGGTTGAGACCGAATGGGAAATAGGCAGGGCTGACCATGACCGCCGGCTGGTTCTCCTCGACCCACCGGAACCCGTCAAAAAGCTCCGCGTCTTCGCCATGGTACTCGGTGCTGCGGTGCGACAGCGAAGCCATGGGGATGACTAGATGTCCTGGAAAACTGACGTGTCAGCCTACTTATGAGTGCCACTAGGTTAACACACACCTTTCGGGATCACGTAGTCTCCCATGGGCGTGTCCTGGACAGTCTGCCGACATACCCCGAGTGTGTCGCCCTTCAGGCGCATCACCTCGCGGATGAATGAGTCGAGGTAACGTGCGTTGCGCAACGACTCGTATGAAAGGTGATGCGTCCCGTCGGCCTGTGGCTCCACGATGGCCATGAGCTCGTCCTGAATCGCCGGGATGTACGATGGCCGCGCAGCGAGCTCGTACATCACCCACACTGCGACGACGGCACTGCGAGGGCGACGCGTTAAATGATGAGGACAATGCGCATGCAATGGTGCAACGTACGTTTGGTGGACAGATGCGAAAATCAGACTGGGTAGATTCACTAGTACGTAACAGAACGCCGGAGAGCCAGATGGGGGTGACGCACCTGAGCACAAGGCAGGCACTCCACAAAGTGTCGGCAACAGAGACGGTGCCGTCTTCTCGTGCGAACATTCTGCCCATAAAGTGCAGCAGAGGCTCCTGCATCCAGATCAGCGGGTAAACCCCGGGAATAAAACGCGGATCACTCACGTCCGAGTCGTGCTCCTTCTCCGACCTACTAAGAGGCACGAATGTATTGTGGCGCAGCTCGCGCCAAATGTGAGGGCCGAGGACGAAGAAGTAGCGGTACAGCAGAGTGCCGAAGATGATGCGCGTCCTTATATCGAAAATCAATTTCTGACAGGCTGCTTCTTAGACTGGGGCAATCGACGCACCAGTTAGCGATCCTCCATAGCCATGGGAACGTCCGCGCAAAGTAAGACAAATTTTGGTAGATTCCTGTCATATTAGCAATGTCGTGTGCCATGTCTTCGATGATGCTGAGGTGCTGGTCGTTAACGTATTGCTACTCAGTCCAGTCAGTACCATTGCTAAGCATGGTCTCGGAATTGCTCACCTCGCCCATGACTACTGTGAGCATGGACTCCGCGATCGAGTGGTGCGCATGAGCGAAAAAGTCTACATGTTCGCCTCGCTGTCGGCCATCATTTACAAGTCCCGTGGCGTGCTTCATGAAGATTGGGAAAACTGGACATTTTGAGACAAAGGTGAAACTATGACTTATGGGTCATAGTCAGTGGTACTTACTTCTATTGGTAATACCTTCAATTCGTGGAATCATGCCAGATGCTACAAGACGGTCGACATCCTTGAAAAACTTTCCGCCGCGGATCGCAAGGATGAATCGGAGGTTGAGGACCTGAACTCGGCGTCAGCACCAGGCACAAAGCTATTAAAAATAAATAAATAAATAAAAAGGTAATGGTAATGGTAAAGCGAAGCGCTGCAGGTGGAAAGTTGCAAAGACATAGTTAGGATGGGAGAGACGTACCGTTGCCACGCCTTCTTCAAAACTTAAATTTTTGTCGTCGGCGAATAGATATTTCGTGTACTCTCGGCCTAGAATGTATTCCAGCTGAGACAAACTACTCAGTATCAGAGTTTTCGCTGCGGAGATGTGCTCATACTCTTCCTTTCCTCCTGACGCCAATAACAGGTCCATGGTTGCGTAGTGCGGTTTCATAAGCTTCTAGTGGCTTATTGAAGATATCATCTGCCTGCACATATTTAGAATTGAAAAACAGTCTTAGTGTCACCGAGGCATACCGGAATGTCTACAATTGGGGGATGGTGAACCTAGAATAAACATGAGTCGAATGTATGGAAGGGGAACGTCGGTGACTTGCATGTGAGCGCTTCTTCGCAAGAACGGATTTGAGGGACAGCAAGCAGACCGTCAAGGCGCAGAAAGGGAGCAAGAGGAGGAGGAATTCTCTGCGAGAGACGCTGATGCTGATAGAGAAGGGCTTGCGCAGCAAAGGAGTGAAGTGGGACAGCGAGGACATGTCAACGGGGTGAGGGGCATACTATGGCATTGAGTGCTGCTATAAGTACGTCCTTGCGGCCTAGCCGGGAGGAAATCTGGATATTCAGTGATGATCCGACGTATGTACGGTGCGCCAATAGCAAGGGATGCTCAGCGCGAGCCTGGCTCTCGCCACAACAAACAGGACGAGCGCGTGCCGCAGCGGAAACGAAGCCTGGATGAGGCAAGTCCAGCAAGCTGGTGCCATCGGCTAGCTGAGCCTATAGGACCGTCTGATCAGGGTCGTCACCATTTGATCACACTCTTACCAACGCGACACGATGCCTTTTTGATAGGGCGGTAAGAAAGCAGCTCGAGGTGGACTGCCGGTGCTGAGACGTTGATGCGTGCGCCCGAAGCTTCGAATCGCGCTTTCCTACACGAACAAATTTGTATTGAGATCTTCCAACCGGGTTCCGGACTGTAAACGACGCTTTACTTGCCGTGCGTTGCGTTTGCTAACATAATTCCGCGACAGTTTCATTTCGCCGACATTATCGTTTGCCCCAGAATGAAGAGTCTCCTCTTCCGAAGCTAGCCAGGAGGTGGCGGAGGCCAGGCACGACGACAAGCGACGACATTGCGCAGATCTAGAGATTCGAACAGGAACGGAGGAACCGGCAGCGCAGGGATGATAGACGCCCTGAATGAGCTGCAAGGAAAGCGCCCACCAGCGCGATGCTGCACAATTGTCAAGCGTAGCGACTACTCCGCATACAGGAATACGCTAGGCTCTGCATGTAACGAGCTAGTCTTTCTGCGCGTATTCACTGACTCTCTCCCTGACGTCTGGCACGCACTATCGACCGAGCTGACGCAATTTAGCTACATATGTAAGTACGGGGGTTTTCTGCTGTACGTCGGTAAAATCTGCCGCATAAGGTGTTTCCTCCGGGAGCACCGGAAATCGGAAAGGCCACACACACTCGTGCAGAAACGAGGGGAATAATTACGACGCCGAGACCGTGCCACCGTCATTCAGGCCTTCAGGTTTGCCTAGAGGCGCGGCCTGAGCCGCCGAGAAATTTGACGAATGCAAGGCGGATCCGCTCTACCCTGATCAGCCGCATGCTTTGTGGCACACGAGGATGAGTAAATCTACATTTCTATATCACATAATGCGGGACATCATCCTCATGTTTGTTTCATGGCCACAAGGCAGAGCTTCTGACATTTTTGGATTCACAGAATAAGGACATCCCCTTGTCCTTCAAGCTCGCTCGGGCGTGCCACGCCGAGCATACCATCCCACTTGAGGGAAAAGGTTGCTGGGATTTCGGTGCGACGGCTCCGAGAGCCAGTGCCATGAACCGCGTCCGTCGCGCTGTATAAACCGTACGTAAAACGTCGCCTTCATATGCGTGCCCCTACATTTGTCTTACCCGGGAATTTGCTTCCTGCGGCAATAAACGTAGTCTGCGGACAGTCGCTGACACTTTACCTAAACTTAAGCCTTAGGTTGAACCTGTCACAGAAAACCAACAATAACTGCGGTCTCCGCCAATTGCCGGCGTCCGCCACGCCCTCAAGGGTCTCATACTTATCTCCGCGCAGCTGTAGATTGAGTCTGCGACCGTACCTTTTGGGAGATCGCCCAAGGGTAGTGCGCAGAGCTCAGGCCTCAGGTCCCGGGCGGCCTGTAGCCGTAAGTATCTGCGGTTAGTCTGCGATCGGCGCGGCAAAATGACGTCATAGCCACCAGCAATGTGTACATCCTCTCCTGCTGCTGTCCGCGTTCTCCTCTTGCTGTGCCGAAGATTTGTCGTCGCACATGGCGACGATTCCGTCAAGTAGCCGAGAGTTGTTGTGCCGTAAGAAACGGGAAACGTCGGTGAGCTGCCGAGCAAGTTACCCATTCCGTTCCGTCACTAAGGTCTCACGTCGCCCAAGGCTGAAGAGTGCGCTAGTCCGGGTTTCGCTCTGTCCAGTCGGCAATACCACAGGCGCAGCATTCAAAGCTGCGTACCTGCCCAGCTCAATGCTCGTCCTGATAGCACCACGGCTTGGCCCAGACGACCCTGCATCAGTGATAACTACGATATTCGATGCGCAGGACACTGTTCAGGCGAGGAGCTCTCACGAGACCTTCCTAGATGAATACGCGGATCCTTTCCCTGCACTTCTTCTCGCGAAAAGGCACGTCGCAGCAGCACGAGGAGATGGACGATGCAAGCTTCGGACAAGAAGACACACTTGCCCTTCTCTCATCAAACGTTTCCCGCCATGCCCTGGGCACGATGATTGCAGCCGCGAAGCTTCCCTGGAGTGTCCCAAGGGTCGTCACGAATGTACATCCGCTCGCGCGTCGCAGCCTCGGGACGCACGCAGCCTGTGTGCCAGCTTACTCCGACCACAACCGGAGAGTTGTCGTGCCAGCCTACACAATCCGGCGTTGAGTTCTCGCGCGCTGACGCGCTGACCTGTTGAGACCGGTGCGGGCGAGGTCAGGGCTTGGGTTAGTGTCGTGTCAGCTCTTGCTCCGGTCGTCACGCGTCCGTTGCGACCCGTCGTGGTCAGCCGCGCACTGAAGATAGTGTGAATAGAGCAGGTTACGTATCCCTACTACTCCTTCCGGGGCCCGCTGTGCAATTTTTTCAAGACTGACAGTCCGTGACGGTACGGACACGGAGACAGTATCGCCGCGCGTACTCTTGTTCCTTCCAGAGCGTGGCGCGCAGCTTGCGACGGAAATTGGTAGTCGACGAAGAGCTAGAGACAGGGACGGGATTGCTGTGTGAATTCATTCGTATTATACACCTTACGACAACGAAATAATCCAAATTCGTCGCTTTCTACTGCGACGCCCAAGTGCACTGGCCCTCTGCCTACCTAGAGGGGTACCGCACCCTGACCGAAGACCTCAGCATGGATCTTGTCCGTGTTAACGCCGCGGGCCTTCAGGGAGCGAATCACGTCCGCCATGAACGGCTCGGGCCCGCACACGTAGTAGTGCGCCGCGGGGTCGTCAAGGCGAAGCGTGTCGGTCGGAACGCGTGCGAGCTCGAGGCGACCCGCAAAGTCGTAGTCCTGGCCCTGGAGGTCGCTGCCAGCGGGGGCCGAGTAGAAGACGGCGCGGCGGACGCGGTCGGGACGAAGGCCGAGCAGGCGGCGCACCTCGTCGTGGAGCGGATGCGCTGCGCGCGAGCGCACGACCTGCACCCAGCTCACAGGGCGCGGATCCGGCGTCTCGAGGATCGTGTGCAACATCGACGCAAGCGGCGTCACGCCGACGCCCGCGGAGATGAGCACCGCGGCCGAGTTCGTATCGTCGAGGAAGAAGTCACCGAAGGGCGGGCTGATTTCGATGCTGTCGCCCTCCTGGACCTTGTCGTGCAGGAAGTTGGACATCCAGCCGAGCTGGTCCGCCTGGGCGGGATTAACGGCGCCTGTCGCAGGATCCGTAGCGCGTACGCCACGGTCGCGTTTGACGGAGATTCTAAAGTGTTCGCTGTGCGGAGCGTCGGAGAGGGAGTATCTGGACCAAAACAGTCAAGTCACGTTCGAGCAATGACAAGCGCCAAACTTACTGTCTGGACTGGTTAAAGCCCAGCTCTTTGATGAACTTCTGGACGCAGATGTACTGGCCCGGGCGGTGCGTGGGCAAAGGTTTGCCATCCTTGGGTGCGAAGTAGAATGAGGTGACGTCGTCTGCCTCCGGAATTCGCTTCTTGACGACGAACTCCTTGAAACCTTCCCAGGCAGAAGAACGGTAGAGCTCACCCTCGCGGCCCAAGAGAATATGCGCGAGCTGCCAGTACGCGGCGTACCACGCGTCGTATAGTTCGCCCTTGAAGACGTCGGCGCCGAGTACCTGCGTGATCGCGTTCAAAAGGTTTTCGCCGACGATGGGGTATTGCTCGGGCAAGATGTGTAGGGATGCATGTTTGTTGCAAATCCGCTCGACGACAGGCAGGATCGGCGTAAGATCATCGATATACGCAGCGTAGGCATAGACAGCACGCGCAAGAGCTTCAGCCTGATCACCCCTCTGTGACTGCAGTGAGCAGTTATACTTCACAAGAGTGCGACCAAGTACTTACCTGCTGCTTGCTATGGTTGAAGTTATTCCTCAACTCGGGATTGCGTTCAAGCATCTGTTTATAGAAAAGCTTGGTGATCGCTTCACCGTGCTGTTCGAGTATGGGGGCAGTGCTCTTGACAAGCTTCTTCTGAGCTTCAGTAAGGCCTGGATTCGGCAGGTTAGCACCTGGTATATCTGTTTGCGAGGCACTCATGGTGGTCGAGGGAGAGCTGCTGTTCATGAGCGTAGATAGAGTCTGATAAGCCTCAACTCCGCATCAACGCAGGGTGTGAAACTCACAGATATATCGGTAGAAGGTTGAATACGAAGGATCACGATGTCCTGGGTCGTTTCCTCCACCCGTCCCATGCTTTTGTACCGCGTCACTCGACCTTCGGACATTGTGTCTAGGTGCGTCTGGTGCCGGTCTTACTTTAACATGCGTATGCGCAAACTTAATTGCATTGCGCCGAGAGCTTCAGACTTTGTCAGAGCTGACGATTATCTGATCCGCTGTACAGCCCGTTCGTCCGCGTCCGAGCCTCTTCTCACTTTTGAATTGCTAGCTTGGCCTTCGTTGCGCTCATCGGCCGAAGCTGAGAATATTGGTCGAGAGAACTTTGAGCATGTTATGGATTTGTCTGACGGCTTGCACGAGCCACGACGTACCATCGACACGATGAGGTTATGCACCATTCCGCGTCCGAAACCTGGAGTGACCAGACCCAGCCTCCTTTCAATCCGATATCTCCCGTTGCTGCTCTCCCACCGATTTGCTGACATGGGTCTCCCTGGGTCTCCCTGTTTATGTCATGGACAGTAGATTCTGGATTTTCCGGGTCTGATGCTTACTAGTCGACATTCAAACGATAACCGCACATGCACATTGGAAGACTATTGCATGGTGAGAGAACAGACGCAACCTCTCTCACAAGCGCCTGTATGCTGTCTGCTCCGAGCTAGCCCGAGCTCTCAATTTGAACTCGAGCCTCATTGGCGGCGACTTGCTCGACTCTAACACCGCCTAGCCATCCCTGCATACATCGTAAACAGCTGTTTTGAAAGCGGGCCAGGTCGAAGGATCCTCGTATTATCTCCCCAGGTCTCTATTGTCGACGGTGCGCCTGCAGGACTGTCGCGGTCGACCCTGCAAAGTGTATCGGCTTCGCCAGCAGCTGCCAATAAACCATGCAATTTTTGTGTCTCACCTCGCCCTGCCTGTGCACGGCCCGGCTCATCCTGCGTTCTTTTAACGACCTGTCGACGACTGCGCCCCTGGTTAAGGCCGTTTGCAACACTCGGACGCTTTCCACTGCAAGAACAGTTCTCGACGAAGTGCGCTGCGTATCTGCGAGGTAGAGGTATCTATTGTGCTCCCTATCGTGAAATCTTTATGATCAGCAGTAATCAAGCTTCTTGTTGCGAAGAGCTTCTCCATTCACTGAAGGCCATCCGGGGCGGTCCCTCTGAACCTTGCCCGCCTTTTCGACGCTTTCCGGAAGTCGTCGCACTGTAGCGCACAGCCTGTTGTTCTCACCGTGGTGCGAACATGACCTATCGATGTCTAAGGACGAATCCCCTTGTTTCGATTCGGACCATGTTCAGGGCTGGAGGTGCCGTGACCGTGAACAACGCCCTGCTCGGGGATTCTAGACGGCCCAGCGGTCCAAAGCGGTCCAAGACGGCATAAGCGAAGGCCTCGATCGATACCGCCCCGTGATGAATCCAGTCCGATGACCTCGAGCAATATTTTGCTCATTTTCCCCAGTTGTATGGCGTCAGTGGCTGAGATTTCCTGCTGCCCCTATATCTACGCTCCAGCTCGTATCAGCGGACGATCCTCGTCGCCATCGACCACCATCTTCCCCTAGCGGCGACGGTAGACAGCCAGTCCGCTCCCTGTTTGTAACAATTCTCTGCACGATCTGACAAAATGACCTCCACGATCGACCCCAAGGCTATCGGAAAGCCTGCGCCAAAGCGCAAGCACGCCCGTACCCTCACAGGTCAGACACGTCCTACTCAGCGACGTGCACATACTCAGGGATCGATGCTGCATTAGGGTATCTGCCTGAGGTTGACGAGTCTGGTCAGGAGAAGTGGCCCAGAGGCGAAGAGAAAGTGTGGAAGGAAGGCACTCGTGGCCCTGATCGCGGTGAGAGACGCAGTAAACTATCTCGCCGCCTCAGAGTCGTGAATATGCTCTTCCACACGACTAGACGTGTCTACCATTACGAAGTCCTTCGTGAACCATGTCCACACGTCGCTCGCGCGCCAGGCGTACAACCTCGACGACCTCGGTGCTTACCAGGCGGCAGCGCTGTCCGTCCGCGACAACCTCATTGTATGCGCTCCATTTGTGCCCATTCCTTGCATCGCTGACACTATGATTATCGTAGATCAACTGGAATGCGACTCAGCTGAACTTCACTCGCAAGTCACCTAAACGCGCGTACTACCTCTCACTTGAGTTCCTCATGGGACGCACCTTCGACAACGCGCTCCTCAATCTCGGACTCAAGAAAGAGTACAGCGAGGGCGTCAATCAGCTCGGCTTCAACCTCGAGGACCTCCTCGAGAAGGAGCGCGACGCAGGCCTCGGCAACGGTGGTCTTGGGCGTCTCGCTGCGTGCTATCTTGACTCGTCTGCAAGCCAGGAGCTCCCTGTATGGGGCTATGGCCTTCGCTACCAGTTCGGCATTTTCCAGCAGCTGATTGCGCCTGATGGCAGCCAGCTTGAGGCCCCCGATCCGTGGCTCCAGCACGACAACCCGTGGGAGCTACCGCGCCCGGACGTCTCATACGAAATCCGCTTCTACGGGCACTCGGAACGCCTCGATGGCATGAAGGCGGTTTGGAGCGGTGGGCAGGAAGTCCTGGCAGTTGCGTACGATACCATGATACCTGGTTATGACACGAAGAACACGAACAACCTACGTCTCTGGGAGAGTAAGCCCAAGCGTGGCTTCGATCTCAATAGCTTCAATGGTGAGCTGATGACCGTACCCTGTTACGTCAGCATCGATTTACACAACTCATGACAGCTGGTGACTATGAACGCGCAATCGAGTCTTCGAACAGCGCTGCTGCTATCACCTCCGTTCTATACCCCAACGACCATACTACTTGTAAGCGACTTGCTTGGCTCCCGAAATTGATCTATCCCTGACAAGTACTCTTGCGACTATCAGTCGGAAAGGAGCTTCGCCTCAAGCAGCAGTACTTCTGGACTGCAGCTAGTCTCGCTGATATTCTCCGCCGATTCAAGAACATCGACAAGCCCATTACCGAATTCCCTGAACGTACGTATGACCCTCTGTTCGGCACCTAGCAGCAACTTATCAGACGCTCCAGATGTCGCGATTCAGTTGAACGATGTCAGTATCGATCGAGATCTCTCATGTACGCTGTTGACCCATTCACTAGACCCACCCAACGCTCGCGATTCCCGAGCTCATGCGCATCTTGCTCGATGAGGAAGACGTTCCATGGGATGTCGCCTGGAATATCATCACCAACACGTTCTTCTTCACGAATCACACCGTCCTGCCCGAGGCCCTCGAGAAGTGGCCTATCCCACTCATGGAGAATCTCCTCCCAAGACACCTGCAGATCATTTACGACATTGTACGTACCGTCCCCTTGGTTCCCGGTGATAGTGGCTAATAGTTCTTTATCCAGAACTTGTACGTGTAGTTTGTCCGGTGAGGTAATCGGAGAATCTGCTGAAAAGCGTTAACCAGGTTGTTCCTGCAAGCTGTCGAGAAGAAGTTCCCCGGCGACCGGGACAAGCTCGCTCGCATGTCCTTGATTGAGGGTACGCGCTATGATTTAAGCTCTGACTGCGACTAATCGTCTGTACGAACAGAGGGCTTCCCGAAGAACGTCCGCATGGCTAACCTCGCTGTTATCGGTAAAGATCAGATCCGTCTCAAGCCCCTACCCCCTCCTGACGTTCTGTTTTAGGCAGTCGCAAGGTCAATGGTGTTGCAGAACTTCATAGCGAGCTCTTGCAGGCGACGATCCTCAAGGACTTCGTCGAGTTCTACGGCCAGAGCAAGTAGGTAGCAGTCTGTTTGTGCGTATCCATTGATTGCTGATCAGCTGTTTCACAGATTCTTCAATGTTACCAATGGAATTACTCCTCGCCGCTGGCTCGACCAGTGCAACCCGGGCTTGAGCAATCTCATCCACGAGACGCTGCGCATTCCGAAAGCTGACTTCCTCAAGGATTTGTACAAGCTCGAAGGCATCCTCGAGTACATCGACAACCCGAGCTTCCAGAAGAAGTGGGTCGCCGTTAAGCAGAGTAACAAGGAGCGCCTTGCAAACTATGTTGAGAATACTCTTGGATATAAGGTCAACACGCAGGCGATGTTTGACGTGCAGATCAAGCGGCTTCACGAATACAAGCGGCAGACGATGAACATCTTCGGTGTTATATATGTACGTAGACTTGACAGTAGGATAGGTGCTGTGCTGACGTCGAGTGTCAGCGATACCTCACCATCAAAGCAATGACGCCGGAGGAGAGGAAGAAGGTCAACCCTAAGGTCGTGTTCTTTGCTGGCAAGGCCGCTCCGGGCTGTAGGTCCTCGCATCTTGCTGCCTCTTTTCTACCCCTGACGCAATGCAACAGACTACATCGCGAAGCTCACTATCCGACTGATCGTTAACGTCGCCCGCGTCATCAACGCTGATCCGGACACGAAGGACCTGCTCACTCTCTTCTTCCTGTCCGACTACTCTGTCTCGCTTGCCGAAATCCTCATCCCCGCGTCGGACATCAGCCAGCACATCTCGACTGCCGGCACAGAAGCCTCGGGTACGTCGAACATGAAGTTCTGTCTGAACGGCGGCCTGCTACTCGGCACCGTTGGTGAGTCTTCCCACCATCTCCGTCGTGCGCTCGCGAGGCTGACGTGTTCCCTGCAGACGGCGCAAACATCGAGATCGCAGAGGAGGTCGGCGAGAGCAACGTCTTCTTCTTCGGGCATCTTACGCCCGCGGTCGAGGACCTCCGCTACCAGCACATGTACCACCCGCAGCCAATCGAGCAGAAGTGCCCCAACCTCGCGCGCGTCTTGAACGAGATCTCGTCTGGCCGCTTCGGCGACGGAGGCGTTTACGAACCGTGAGTGTCTCCCCACGTCATGTCATCCTCGTGGCAGGTTTGCTGATGAGATTGTGCAGACTCCTCAATACCATCCGCAACGTGGACTACTACCTCCTCACCGAGGACTTTGACTCCTGTAAGTACCGCAAGTTGCGTATGAGAAGATAGCTGGCTAAGTTCGCTGCCAGACATCCAAGCCCTGGCAAACGTCGACAACGCGTACCAGAACCGTGTGGAATGGATCAAGAAGAGCATCACCACGACCGCGAAGATGGGCAAGTTCAGCTCTGACCGTGCCATCAACGACTATGCGCAAGAGTGCTGGAACATTGAGAGCCTTCATCTCAAGTGAATTCCTTAGATCTCCTGCATCAATACCTTAACCTGTACCAGCTGTCTTGGAGCTCTCCGCTGCTGTATGTACTTGTAGCCACCAGGTCAGTAAACAAAACATGTATGAACATGAGATAGCCTGCGGTAGAAATGTAACACGACTGCGGTGGCCTTCAAAACGACATAGCACAGCGCGAGGCAGAATAGTCCGTAAGATGAGAATGGTTGTCTTCCTATACATTCTTATTACCGATTATCGATGAAGCGACGGCGAAACGACGCGAAGCAGTAGCATAGCAAGAGGGAGAGATGGAGAGCGGAACGCCAATGCGGGCGGCATGCGGGCAGAGGGAATAGTGGAGAGGGTATAAGAAGTATAAACAGGTATCCAAGGGGCCATGGGAGCTATCCACGCTACTGGATGGCGAAAATGAAGTTAAACTGAGGCTTCCTCTATATGGCTGTGGGGATCTACGGCGGGACGCAGAGTCAGTAAGGATCCATGACCGAAAGCGCAGCAACCTCACCTCGGGTATCATCAGCCACTTGTGAAGGAGCCTTAGCGTGGTGCAACAACCCATTCGCCTGCGTAGCCTCCTTAGCTTCCACCTCTGGCACGGTGTCGTGCGTAACAGTCTCCGACACGGGCTGTATGGGTTGAACGGCAGCTGTAGCGGCGCCCGCAACGGCCGCAGGCTCCGAAACAAGTTCGGAGAACTCTGCGCCAGTCTCAGCCGCGATCTCTTCCTCTACAGTCGGTCTAGGCTGCACGATCGCTGACTTTGAAGGCTGGAGTTCGTCGCTGCTGTTGAGGTGTTCCGTAAAGGCTGATACGACGGCAGGTCCGCCGGACTGTTGCGGCTCCCCTTCTACTGTCGAACCCTCTACGGTTTGTTCCTCGGCCTGTTCCTCGGCAGAAGACTCGACGTGGGAAGCCGTGGCATCTTCGACGGCAGATGCCTCCGGTTCTGGCGCAGCAGGCTCCTCGACCTGGGCAACCTCCGCAACGTGCGCGATAGCAGCAGGCTCGCTCGAGCTGAGTGCGACCTCAGGTCCGGGGGTACCTCCGGTGAGGACAACGGGCTCAGGGGCGGGTGGCAAAGTCTTCTCAGTAGCCTCACCTTCCGCAGCAGGCGTGTCCGTGTCAGCAGGGATAACAACGTCCTCGGCGTTCGCGGGCACAGAGACAGTAGGCTTCTCAGGAGCCTCGGCCTCTGTCTTGATTGGTTCCGTAGCAACGGGCGCGACCTCGGCAGGGGCCTCTGGTGCTTCCGCCTCTACGACGGGTACAGCGGGGAGTGCCGCCTCGGCCTTGGCGGATGGCGCCGGAGTGGTAGACGTCTGCTCCTCGACTGTTGGAAGTCCCAGTCCCTGCACAGGTTTCGCAGGCAATTCCGGTGCTGTTGGTTGTGCACGCGCGACGGGCAACTCCTCTTCCTCGGGTAGGATCTCACCCAGCTCGCCAATACGCGGGCTCTTGTTGCTGCTCTTGGTGCCAGTCTTCTTCGCACCGCCCTTCGCGGGTTCCGCACGATTCGCTGTGTTGAAGAAGCTGAAACGTTTCATCGGAGGTGAGAACGTAAAGCTCTTGCGACCCGTCACGCTTGCGCTCGTTGATGGGCGCGGCGACATTTCGCGCCGCTCGGCGTTCGGAACGGGCGGAAGAGGCGGCGGGCTTGGGCGGCTGAATGTTTGCTCGATGACGAGAAGGCTTGCGTTCCAGGCTGAGTCCTTGAGCTGGCACACAACGAAAGACGGCCAGTCGAAGGAAATGGGGTCCAACAAAGCGTCGCTCCAAAAGTCGAAAAAGGCTTCGTCGACTTGCACCATGCTGACACGCTTGATGGTGGACTTCGCCTTCGAATCGGCGGCGGAGTCAGCCTGCCCAGGTGATTTCCGAGCAGTAGGGTCAAGAGTCGTTGAACGACCTCTGGTCGGAGAGGGCCAACGTCTTAACGACCCAGACGGATTGGTCTTCTCGGCATCGGAGTCTGCTAGAGTAAGAGACAGGCTCTGGCCGATGCTGCTGTCTCCGAAGCCAGTGGTGGAAAAGTCAGCCCAGGTTGTCAAGGACAGAGCAGTTCCGTTGTGATCATTACTCTTGCTGTCGCCGTTAGGGCTGCCAACGGATGCAGAACGTATGCGTACGGGGGACTCAGATGGTTGTAGCAAAGACGTCGAAGGGGAAGACGTCGCGACAGATCTGGAGGCGGGTGAGGGCGCAGAGCTAGAGCCTGGCTGGCCAGCAGGGATCATGGAGAGCAAGCGCAGCGTCTCATCGTCCAAAATCTCGCTGAGCGTTGGATGAGCGCCGTCGAGCTCATGAGTGTCGGATGCTTTTGCCTTGATGTCTTGCCAGACGGTGTTTGCTTCGCCGGCGATAGCGGTATCAGATGCCACGGGGACTCTCAGGGCTTCGGAGATAAGACGCAACGGATGTTCCCGAGACGGATATGGAGATGAAGGGGTGGGAAGCAATGTGTCAAGCTGAATGAAGAGCGCGTCGCGTTGACGTGTGGAGAAGCGAGTTGTAGGCAAGAGTGGCAGGTCGTCTTTCGAGCTTGCTGATCCGCCTTCTCTGTGGTAGGGATACTGCTTGACCAGCTCGGATAGTCGCAACGGCATCTTGTGACCGCTGTCTTCCTCCCTAAAGCAGTAGCATGTTCGCCGGAAGTTCGACGAAGAAGAAACGGAAGGTCCTTACCTGATGTATGCTAGGAAGAGATGCTCAACCATCCGTCCAGCCTGTTCCCATCTCTTGTAGAACTCTACCCAGCTCTCGCTGGGCTTTGCCCGCTCGGTAGATACGAGCCAGAGGCCGAAGAGTTTGGAGAGCTTGCTAGCGGATGTGCCAATCAATTCGCTGTGTGCAGCCAAGGAAGACATGATGTCCAAGAGAGCTGTCAATAGCTGCAAGTGGACGGGCGGTAGCAAAGGGACAAGTGACTGTGAAAATGCATTGAGCGGATAGTTTGTGTCGCGTTCAGCCGTTACAAAACTTCGATACCACGACCATTCGGGTGATGGTGCGTCCTTTCCGAATGAGGAGCCCTCGAGTCGCAGATGTCGCACGCCCCAGCGAAGGATACTCGCGATATCGTGGGGATCACGAGTGTAGTTTAATTCGGATTCGAAAATGGCGGATAGAGAGGTGGGGGAAGGAGAGAGCGTACTAGCGGGACCTCTGGGTCCGAAGGAAAGAATGAAAAGAGAGATGAGCTTGCGCTGCACCTCGGGCGAGGCGGAGTACCAGTGCGGGTGCATGAGACCGAGAGACTCGAGACCTGACGAGGAGTTAGCATCATGACGGTGGTGCTGCCACTAAACAGCACAAGGGAAAGAATAGGTGCTCGGAAAGAATTGAAGGACCTGCCACTCACCGCCTCGGTCGACGATAGCACTGGAGCATGCCTTGACCAGCAACGCAGCCTCCAAAGGGCTGAGTCTGCGGTCACCAATGACCTCATCCGTGAGTAGGCTGCTGCTCTCTGGGTCTGCTTCAAAGACCACACCAAGGGCACGACTCTTCTCTTCTTTTGGGATGGGGAGGTTAAGGGTGAGATGAGGCGCGGACGCAGACGCGACATTGCTCGGTTGCGGTTTGTCGATCGTACGCGACCGATTGCGAAAGACAGCGAGCGAGCTCTCCTTCGCGCCTGCTGGCTGAGGCGGCTGTGGATCTGAAGACTGCACGACCGAAGGCGAAAGGGGCGGTGAGACGACTTCATATTTACCCTCTAGGAGCGACGGGTGGGATAGTCGCTTGTTCGTGGTCGAGGTCGAAGCGACGTCTTTCTCGTCCTTCTTACGTCCAAAGACCTTTGTTAGAAACGAGGGCATCTCGTGGCTGATTCCCGTTCAGAATTAGAAAAGTAGGTCCAAAGGAGGGTCGGCCAGGAACAGGAGAGAGAAAGAGGGAGAGTACGGTTGGAGGTGGCAGGAAGCAACCCACCCGCCGGCGCCAACCAACTCTGTCTACTCACTTCGTCACCTGTGAGCCCGGTCCATTCTAGCACCATGTTCTCCGCTTTCAAGCTATCAAAGGTGAGCCAATACCTCGCTCTGAACACGCCCAGCATTGACCGTAGCAGCCCCAAATTTCCATCTTGTGGGTTTCTTCTTACGACTTCATCACCTGAGACTGAACAGTTCCGATAGCCACTCACCCGCTTCACCGGCCTCGGTGCAGGCTCTGAAGCTTCTCAGTGCTGCAGTCAGCAGCCCGTATCCCCCCTCAAAGCCCTCGGCCTCACCTCTTTCATTCAACCTCGAAGTGGTGGAGAACCAGCCACCGACCCCAGACCAGCTCAGGACCATACTGTCCTACCTGCCGGGAGTCTCCTCTCTTGACAGCTTCATGTCTTCGCACTACGCAGTCGACGCAAAACCTTCAAATCCCGCACAGCTAGCCAAGCTTGTGTCGACGGAGCCGCGGGCACTCAAATGGCCCATCGTGGTCGACTGGGAAGGCGGCAAGGCAGCCGTCGGTGACGTTGATGGCGTCAAGCGGATACTCGAGGACCTCCGGAAGCAGCGGGACGGCGAGGCAAAGGGAGACGACTAAGCTTGGTCTCAATAAGAAAGGAAAGCTTGTATAGTGCGTTCTGCCCCTAGGTGCATCTGCGGCGTTGTTGACATGCGGACTAGATTAGGAGGAAAGGACGGTATCAATGCATCACGGACTAGTAAATACCGGTACTGTACTGCAATAACAACCACAACTTCATTATGCCATCAACTGCATCATCTGTCGCACCTCGCCTAATATCACCCCGTGTGCTCCGGCATGCACACACCCTTGAGATGTGCTCTCGCCCATGGTTAGGCGACCTACACCGTAGAGATTGTCGAGCACCGTGTCGCGCAGAGCCCTCGTCTCAGCGGAGGCATCGGGCTTGTCTTCTATATACCAGGTCTCTTGTACACTCAGCAGCAGGTAAAGGCACGTCCTTCGGACGAAAGAGCCTTCGAAAAGCTCAAGCCCAGAGGCGTCTTTCAGGTTATTGCGTTACCCACACTGTTGAGCGCCTGGTGGAGGTCCTCCGCCGGATGCGCAAAGAATTTATCGCACACAACCATCGTCGGCACGAGCATCTTGAACCAGGCATGAGCACTGGAACATAGTCTATACGAGGAATCAATATGCAACGCTGCGCCGTTGCGCATCGACGTGGCGCCTTCTGGTCTACGGTTACACCGTGTACTCGCATGATAGCTGAGGTGTATACAAGTGGGAAAATGGGTGTAAACCTAGCACACGGCGTGTCATAGGCTGTCGTTACATATTGAACTGCGAGACGTTTACAATTGCAACGTGCTACAGACTATCGCGCGCGTCCCAACTGACAATGACTACAATGAATTTCGTGCCTCCGGGATTTCCGACAGAGGATACCTATAGAATAGTACGTCAAGTTCGTCCACGTCCAGGAGCCCGGTTGAAATGCTTACAAACAACCTCAAGCATAGATTACTCGCATATCAGCATACCCTGGGTTCAGGTGCCAAAGCCTGTCCATGTCCTCGGCATCGTCCACATCGAAGATGCCCAACTTCTGAAAAGTCAAAGAGCCCGATGTCTCGTTGACGGTATTCCCGTACAACCAGTACTTGAGGTCGGCAGTTGCAACAATAGTGTACTCGGTGTCGGTCTCCAAGGAAGGACTAGTACAGTTGACAATGATAGTGAAAGACCAAGACTTCGCTTGCTCGCCGTCTCTCGGCCCAATCAGGACTTCCACCTCCAGAGAGCCAGCTGTCTCAGTAGGGTGGAAGACGCAGCGGTCGACGACGTACGCGACGTTCGAGAATACGTCGGATGCGGGGTCGTACTGAACGAGGTCCTGCTGCAGGTACGAGACCGGAGGGGTGGAGCGAGGTGTCAGCGGATGGCGTAGGAGCTGCTTCCAGCTCGGCCGCCAGCGAGCCCTTCGGTCGGCGCCGGGTACGGGGAATAGGAAGAGGAGGTCGGTCAAGAACTTGGGGTCCAGCTCGCGCACAAGACGCTTCCATGCCGTTTCAGCAGAGATTGTCTCGTCGTAGATCGGTATGACCGGACACTGTAGCAGATAGCCGAGACCGCTGATGTAGTCGTTCTCGCGTCGGGAGTGACGCAGCCGGAGGAAGGTAACCAGCGCAAAAAGGTCCGGAGGAGTATAGCCCTGGGGAAGTACGGCGAGCAGGTCGCTCATCCGCTGATGGAAGAGTGTTATGGTGTCCCAAAGGCCTGGTTCATTGTCATCAAAGGGCTGAAGTGTCAATCCGCCGAGAAGCCAGTTTGGGGTGGCCTCCTGCATCGTCCAGACGCGGTTAATCCAGTGATTTGTGTTAGCTATCCCCCATGCGGACTTTGAGTTCGCAGACAGTCGGAACGGTCTTCCCAAACCGTTGAAGTACGTTACGACCACCTGCGAGGGCCTACAGCGATAGACATACCCGATGGTGGGCACATCGAGTCGCCATTCCTCCCTTCGGGTTTTCTCGCGCCTGCGCAGCCACTGAGAGTCCACGGTGTCTCGATAAGGGTAGTTTAGCATGGTGGTAGGCGGGATCTCTTGCCTGAGACAGAGCGCGTCTAGCCAGACGTACTCAGCACCCAAGTTGAGCAGCTCGATGCGGATCTGGCTGAGGTAGACACTCAAAGGGATGGGTACTGGCCACATACAGCTGTTGATGCGTGTCCACACGCGCTGTAGCTGCGAGTCGGGAACCCAGCTGTGAGATATTGCCCACAGGTTCCTTGGTACGTCTGCTCCAAGGAGCACGTGAAAAGGGAGGACGCGGTTGCTGTACAAGTCCCATACTCGACGGGGAGGGACACGGGGATCAATGATGAGGTCGTCATCTATAGCTCTCTGGCGGCGGCCGGAATCGGCCTCAGCGTGACCATTCAATCGCTCGTGCAGATAGTCAACGTCGCAGAACCATCCGCGACGGACCCTCCCATATGCATACCCGAAATCATAATTTGACTCGTCGTTCACCATCTCGTCAAGAAGGGCTTCAAGATTGGGAATCTTGTCAAGGCTATAATTCGTGCCGAAGACATGATTGAGTTTGTCGAGGAGTCCGTCAACTCCGAGGTCGGCACAGAAGATATTCGCGTCGCTGTCGCAGATCGCGCCAGTACCCTTGAACTTCATCTGTAACGGGCACACAGTACGACGGTTGATGGATGCCGGGGGAGTAAGTGTAAGGATTGGGCCGCTCGTGCGCTGCTTGGCAGACGAGGCCTCGAGAGAGCCGCGGCTTTCGTCCATCATCACCATGAGATCCCACGCCCCCTGATGGGAAAGTGAGCATGAGCGAGCGGTGTTTGAATTCGAAGGTAAGACTGCTCCTGAACTTGGGCTTTGAGGACGTAGGTTGTCTGGAAGGGTATCGTCGAGGCCGAAAAGCAAGCGCAAACCTGGTGACATCTGATGCCGCTCAGGGATGGTCCCTCCAGGGGACATAGCGAGGTTCTTCCAGAGACCAAGAGACGGCGCGTCCCTCGAACGAAGGTCTGACCGCATTCCGCTCTGACGACGTGACCACTGGGGGCCTTCGGCGCGACGAGATGGATGATTGCGACCAGCCGCGGGACCCCGATTTGTCGGAGGTGCGGAATAGGCGGAAAGGGCGCGTTGCTCGTCCTCGTAGCTCCCGTAGTCGCCATAGTCCTCGTCGTACTGGGATCCGGAGCTGCCCTGCCCGTCATCGTCGTCCACCCATCTCCCCAGACCCGACATATCCCATGTGTTCATCCCCGCATCATCCGACTGATCCTGCGAATGGTAGCCGGTGCCGTCGTCTTCATCGTCCAAGCCATGCTGTCGAGGACTGCCGCGTCGTATAAGACGAGACGAGAGTGGCTGAATTACACTGCCCTTCGGTAGTGCGTTATCTCGCTTAGGGGGCTGACCAGGACCATGACTGGGAGCCGCAGTCTCAGACCAAGACTGGTCCTGTTGCGAAGATGCTTGTGACGACCAGCCCCGCGGCCCAGAGGTTTTTCGTAACGAACCACGAGATGGTGGAGTGTGATTGTTGCGACGCATGTGCGGGGTAACCTGTCAGGATAAGGATGTAAATGGCTATTTAAATTCTGAAGCACTGCAACGAACGAGTTCCGGCGTCGAGGATGAAAGCAGCGCAAGACGTCTCTCGGTGACCACTCCTTTGGGGTGAACGCGCGAGATGCAGCGTGTATCAGCTCATCGTAGATGATCCGATAGCTCAGCCGCGCAGGTAACACGCTTATTCACACAGCAAGTGCGCGGAAGTGCAGAATGCGACCGAAGCTTCATGCAGAAGAATACATTAATCCTGTTGAGGTGAGTTTATCTCTTTAATCATAGGACAAAATTGGCACGTACGTCCGGTGGTCAGGTCCTCCGCTCGTGCCTAAACCCTACGAGGTAGACCTTATCTTCGGTCTTTACGCAAAATGTCCAGTGTTGGGAGTGACCGATCCCGGTCAAGTCAACTGACCGTCAGTTGACAAAATACCAGGCGCCCAAAAACAGCTTAGCGATTCTCTTGCTAGCGACTGGGCCGCTCAACGCCGTCGGCGTCGATGACTGCAGTGGGAGAGCGGGTGGCGTAGTAAGGATAACCTTAACACTATACAGCCCCAGCGACGAATATTTTCAATTTTATTTCTGTTTGTTTTACCGCTATTTCTCGTGTCTGGGACTCTGGACAACCGGGCCTTACAGTACTTCAGTGGCGATGTAGCTAACTGAGCATGCCATGACTGCATGAATTCCTTGACGTCGACATTAGATGCGGCACTTGCGAGCCGGAAGTTCTAGTGTCCCGAAAGAGCTGCCCCCCAATCCCCGGTATAACTTACTGGTGTCAGTAACTTACTACACTACGGGCATGAGCTGATTTCAGATCACCTGAAATGTCCCGGTCAAGCCATCAAAAATGTTTCATTTTCGGAGACTTAACCGGGGCTTTCTGGTGTCCTAAAATGATAGATTTGCCACCACTTTCGTAGCCATTTGCGGTGCAGGAAAATGATAAATTTTGTGTAGCCTGAAATGAACCTGAAATGACTCAATATGGCTACATTTCGGTACGGCAAAGAGTTCATGTTTCAGAAGACTTTGTGGTGCATTTCAGGACATCTGAAAGAACATATGTAGAAATCATTTCCGCCTCATGTTTGCAATGAGGAAAGGTCCGGGCAAGGATAACTTTTGATGGTCCTGAAATTACCATTTACGGCAAATTTGTAGTACGTTTCTAGGACATTTTTGGCTTATCTCAAGTAAAAATCTTCTAGCTCATAAAATAGCTTCAAAATCCATCAGAAATGGCAATTTCAGGACCATCAAAAG